ACCTGTCCTTAAGGCATCCTGAGGCAGCAAAAAAAAAAAATCCTTCTAAGAATACAAAAGTATGCATGGCTTTTGTAACATTAAAAACATCAGAACAAACCAATGGAATATGTATATGAGAACTACTCCAGTATGAGGCTATGTATTCTCTGGGTGAGAACAAAAATAATTTTCATTTTAATAGTTAAGTAAAATACAAAAAAATATGACAGTGTTGGAAACTGGCGAATAATTCCAAGTGAAATAGATAATTTGATAAATAAAAAGAAGATAATAAAAAATAGTGTGACAAAAGGACCACAACCTTTTTTAAAATCTGTGTTTTAAAGTAGGGTTTTTTTTTTTTTTTAAAGAAATCCTTCCCTCTATCCTTCCAGACATTCTTTCCCCACATTTATCTAATCTCATCCTCTCTGCATTTCTGAGAAGTGGGAAAAACAGGTTTTATCACTCACACATTACAGAGGAGAAAATAAGGCTCAAACCCAACAGGAATAGCATGGGCACAGCGGGCACCTGGCATTGTGCGTACTGAAGAGTTGTGGCTGGGTGCTTCACACACGTGTCTGAGGAGCAAAAACATAAAGCAGATTTTTATGGCAGTGTCTATTTATTAGCATCATTTTGTGATGATGACATGGGGATCAAAGGGGACACGCAAGTTGTCACAACTAGCACTATCCTGAGATAGAGTGGAAGAAATAAAGATAGGTAGAAACTGAGAACCAACATAGAGGTAAGTAACATCTCCTAGTCATGTGGGCAGGCTTTTCCGTATTATTAGGGGGTTCTTTGTTTGTTTGTTTTAGTTTTTAAAAATTAGTGTGTGTTTGTGATACACAATTATTACATTCATCTAGGGGAATTTGTAATATAAATAGGGCATTTTGATCATTTTCACTACCACTCCCCCACCACCCCTCTGTCTCCCCATTTCCAGATTTTCTTCTCATCTCCACAAAGTCTATGGCCCTGCTTCCTGTCACCTTTCATTTTTCTCTTCAATGATTCATATTTTGGGTTTCTTGTGTGGGACACCACTATTACTGTACAGCACTCCCTGCGAGTACCATCTACCCCTGCTATAACCACTGTCACCAGGAAGCTGAGTCCTGGTGCCCAGAGGAACCTGGCCTCACTCTCCTCTGTTCTTTGTGCTTTTGATGAAAGAATCTGGTTAAGACACATAGTTGGCCCTGCAGAAGAATAGGTAGTATTTTTGTTGTTGTTGGTTTTTGTTTGTTTTGTGACGAGGTCTGGCTCCATATTCCAGGCTGGCCTGGACCTCAGGGATCCTTCTGTCCCACTGGGATGGCAGGTGTGTGTCACAACACCCAGCAAGCAGGAATAGAGATTTATACCTCACTGTGCAGTGTCATAGAGGTATCTGCCCCGAGAATGAGTTAGGAAACTTTTTATGGACACAAGAATTACTCCTGGGGTCCAGGGAAGTATGATGATTATGAAACTTATGGATATTTTCCTTAGAGGATCCTAGTTATTTTGTATTTCTTAGAGGTTTCTGTTTCTGTTTAGATGGTCACTGTTCTCTCAGAGATTTTGGTCATGTAAGAAAGCTAGGAAAGAAACTTACATAAGAAAAAGCTCTAATCTAAATTAGGTCTCAGCCCAAGGTGAGGGAGCCTATAAAGAATATTTCCTTCTCTGGTATCATAAGATGATAGGCTGTGATGGCCAGGAATACTGTATGCTTTTTTTTTTTTGTAGAAATATTAGGTCTCACCTCTTTAAATCAGAAACCTAAGAAATGATTATGAGTGTATTTTTCCCAGTGGTCTTTGCTTCATTACTTAACTATAACTGGCAGAGCATGCTTTAAAGTTAAGTGTAACTTTTTAACTATATAGGGCTTTTTGCACCTCAGTTTTGCTAATATCTATCTGTCAGCCTGACACCATTTTCCATCTTAGTGAAAAATCTCAGATTGCTCCAAGGTCTTGGATTTATTCCCTAGCAGTTTACACAAGTATGCAAGCACGCACACAATCACAGATTGCTATCCATCGTAGACTCCTTTCAGATCAGTTACTCCTATACTCCAAGCTCTTCCGTGGCTTCCCACTTTGTGTGGAATTGCAATCTAAATGCCTTACATAGCCCATGACCTATCTTCTCCTACTGTTCAGGAAAAGGAGCTTTTGGGGGTCTTTGTATTCATTTTGCCCTTAGTACTCCACAAATACTCATCAGGCTCCTGCCCTCCATTCAGAGATTCCTTGCCTGAGCTAGCCCTGACCCCCCTTGCCCTGTAGTCTACGCTATTTTCTTTGTAGCAGTTAGCATTCTCTGAAATGTATCTTGCTTATTTCCCACTTACTTATGGATTTTCCCACTGGAATGTCAGCTCCAGGAGGATGGAGAGTTGGGCACTGTGTTCATATCTGGACTTAGTAACTTGAACTGTGCCAGCACACACACTAGGCATTGCATTATATCCAGGCTATAGATGCCCCTGCTGCCCTCTGTAGGCATTATTCTAAAGTCTTACATGTAATGCATTAACCCCTATGGTTCCCAGTAACAACTCCTGCCCCCAAAAGTGACTGCTATGGTATTATTGTGGCTTCCATTTTAGAGGCAAGTCAAATAATGACAGAGAAGAGACATGACTTGCAGCCTCTAAGTTGGCAGAGCAAGGTTTAAACCCAGGATCTGGTCTGTGATTTCAATCACCACATCCATTCTCCCTAATAAACATTCGCTGAACATGTGAGTGGATGAATTAGTATCTGCCCAACCCCTTTGCCTAGATGTTCCACAGGTGCCACACAATCAATATTGACAAAACTGAATGCATTGTCCTTCCATTATGGAGTTGCCCTTTAATTCTTTCAGTCACTTAGGTCAGAATGCTCACTGTTGTCCTTGACACATTCCTCACCCTCCATGAGAACCTGCCCTCAAAGCCTGTTGATTCTAGGCCCTCACCATCCCCTTCTACTCCTCTCTGCTGAGTCAAGGATGGTATCCTCTCCCGTCAGTGTCGTGGCCTCCACTGCATTAGACTCCATCCTCACTTCTCCATTCCTTGCCCAGATTGTTCTCCTACAATAAATAAGAACTGCCCCTAGCCTCCTGATAAAGCCCCCAGGCTCTTAGCTCTTCCCTCAAGACTCCACGAGTCTGGTCTGGTCTGTGTGCTGCATCATTGTGTTCCATCTGCCCACTCATTCCCATGTGGCTTCTCCACTTAAGGCATTTCCTTCACTTTTCTATCTACTTACAATGTTCACCCACCTTCCTCTGAGTAACATGCTTGTGTCTCAGCTTAAAATTCCCTTCCTAAAAGAAATCTTCTCGCCCACCACCTCTACCCACCACCTCAACAGAAACTGGGTGCCCTGTTAACTCTTCCATTATACATCTGATAATAAAATGTTCATTGGTAATTATCAGGTCAATACTTGGCTAGGGCTCCTGCAAGAAAGTGTAGGGTGTGAGTGTAGAAACTATGTCAGATGTATTTACAAATGCTGATGCTTAATTTATTTGTTTGATTGATATGATTCTGGGGGTTGAACCTAGGATATTTATGCTGAACTTGCTTTATGTTGAGACAGGATCTCACTAAGTTGTTAAGTTGTACAGGCTTGGTTTGAACTTGTGATTCTTTCTGCCTCAGCCTCTCAGAGTTCTGGGGTTCCAGGTACGACCACTGTACTTGACTGAGTACATATTTTATATTAGTCACTTATGTTAATTTGTAATTTACAAACAATTTACAAGTAACAGCCTGGGAGTGGTGAAGGAGGGGTCTTTAACAAGTAGATACCTGAAGTTTCCAATGTAACCACTACTGTGTCAGTAGGTGAAAGCTGCATCCTTAGGGGTGTTGATGGGCTGCCTTTTCCTCCCTTTCTCACTCTCTCCTTTCACCTGACTTAGTAAACACTTGACCTTCTGTTTCCTAGGAACCCCACATGAAGACAGACCTAGCATTTGGACCCTGGCAGCCTCACTGAAGAATATGAACTCTAAATTCATATTGTCATCCTCCTGCCCAAAAACAGAGGCTAAGGGACTGATAGGATGAGGTTTCACAATTTATCAGCTGCTGTGATTTGAATAGGGACCCTCCTCCACCTGGTAGGATCCTAATCTCCAGTACGTCAGAATGTAATCTTCTTGATAGAGAAATCAAGTTAAGATATTCTTTAGGGTGAGCCCTAATACGTGACTGGTGTCCTTACAGAAGAGGAAAAATGGAAGAAGGAATGTCTCTACCTCTTAGAAAGACAAGTTACATTGCCACAAGCCAAGGAACATTCAGAAGTGAGGAGAAAGGATGAGAATATATCATATCCTGACTCCTTTAGAGGATGCATAGCCCTGTCAACACCTTGATGTCTGATTTGTGGCCTATAAAACTGTGATAGAATGAACGCCTGTTATTTAAGCCACTCAGTTTATAGTCCTTCATTATGGTGTCCCAGCTATACCAGCTATGTGATATCTCCATGCCTCCATTTCTAAAATAGGGACAATAATGTACCATTCTGCAAAAAATTCTTTGGAAGTAAAAGTTCTTTGCTCAAAATAATGTGTGTAAAATGCTAAGCATAGAATTTAGTGTGCAGTGCTCGATACAGAAGTAGATGGCATTGTTGTAGGTGAAACAGCTGAGCCCCACACCTCCACAGTACACACACAAACACAACCACTGGGAAAGATCCAGCTGAGCCTGGTGCACCTCCTTTTCTCCTTGAGAAGATCCAGAAGGAGTCATTCATGGTGCTGTGTTCCTACAAACTGATAGCTTTTCTATACACCAATAACAGGTTAGGGGTGAAAGAAATGCCATTCACAATATCTTGTGCCATCACAAATGCCAAAACAAAACTTAAAGTCCTAGAAATCAACCTGATCAGGAAGGTTAAAGGTGTCTACAGTAAAAATTACACAACGAGGAAAGAAATTTAAGAGGGCACCAGAACACTGAAAAACTCCAAAGTTCATGGATTGACAGAACCAGCCCTCACCTTTTCTCCTTGCATACTCAGTGATAGCTCGCACCTCAGAACTCTGCCCACAGACCCTCATGCACTCTTCCTTGGTCTCGAAGTTGTTCTGCTTTTCTCTGCAGCCACCATATCCGAAGGCTTCACAGCGTCCAGAGTGGGCATTGTAGTAGTATCTGATCAACAGAATCCTGCAGGGACCCATGAAGGAACGCTCCAGGCAGAAGGCAGGCCGGGAGACTGCAGGGAGAGCAGAGTCTGCAGTCAACTAGGAGAATGGTCCTACAGGGCAGTGTACATGGCAAACAATGAAAGCAGCCCACGTATCCGGTGACTAGTGGGCAGGGAGCTGGAAGTGCAAAAACTCCATTTGATAGCTTGTTTTCTGGATGTTATATTAATTTTGTTAGGTATACCATTATATAGTGATAATGTAAAAAAGTTATGCACACCACTGAAGTACTTATGTATTCACTGAGTGATGCCTGAGATTTGATTTTAGGCACTACAAGATATAAAAAAAAATCACCAGGGATAGTGGTATATGGCTATAATCCCATCACTCTGGAGGCTGATGCAGGAGTGAGTTTGAGGCCAGCCAGGTCTACAAAGGGAGTTCAAGGCCAGCTTGAACTACATAGTGAGACCCTGTCTCAACAACACAAATATATA